TAGGTCTGTTGCCAATCTAATGTTTCTACCATTGTAGGTTACAGATCTCTTCTCCTGAGCTGCTTTCAGGATTTTCTCTTTGTCTCTGAGACTCGTAAGTTTTACTATTAGATGTCGGGGTGTTGACCTATTTTTATTGATTTTGAGGGGGGTTCTCTGGGCCTCCTGGATTTTGATGCCTGTTTCCTTCCCCACATTAGGGAAGTTCTCTACTATAAATTGCTCCAATATACCTTCTGCCCCCCTCTCTCTTTCTTCTTCTTCTGGGATCCAAATTATTCTAATATTGTTTCATCTTATGGTATCACTTATCTCTTGAATTCTGCCCTTGTGATCCAGTAGTTGTTTCTCTCTCTTTTTCTCAGCGTCTTTATTTTCCATCATTTGGTCTTCCATATCACTAATTCTCTCTTCTGCCTCATTTATCCTAGCAGTTAGAGCCTCCATTTTTTATTGCACTCATTAATAGCCTTTTTGATTTCGACTTGGTTAGATTTTAGTTTTTTTATTTCTCCAGAAAGGGTTTCTCTAATAACTGCCATGCTTTTTTCAAGCCCAGCCAGCATCTTAAAAATCATCATTCTGAACTCTAGTTCCAACATCGTACTAATGTCCACATTGTTTAGGTTCCTGGCAGTCAGTACTACCTCTTGTTCTTTTTGTTGAAGTGATATTTTCCATTTTGTCATTTTGTCCAGAGGAGAATAGATGAATGAGAGAACAAAATGCTAACAGGGTAACAACGTCCCCAGAAAATATACACTAAACAAATCAGAAAAGCCCTGAAACTGGGGAAAAGAAAGGGAAAGAGAGAAAAAGAAAAAGAAATAGATAAAAACAAACAAAAACAAAACAATAAAACAGAATATGATCAAATATGATCATATATCATATGATCATATTTGGTGTATAGATCAGTGCCACACACTAGATTTAGGCGTATTTTGGTCTGTTAGAAGAAAGTGCCTCCCAAAATTTTAAAGAAAGAAAAACTTATATATGTACAAAAATAAGGGTTAATATGATGAAGGGATGGAATATGGCTGTAAAGATGAAAATTATAAAAGACTTTATAAAAGGAATTCATAAGAAGTTGGTTGAAAAAAGAAGGAAGATTTAAAAAAAAAAAGGGAGAGAATGTGATCAGGCAGGAGACTAGAACAAAGCCATACACTAGAGATTTAGTGTATATTTTGAACTGTTAGAAGAAACTATATCTCAAAATTTTAAAGGGAGAACAACTTATATATATATATATATATATATGTATATATATATATACCAAAAATAAGGGTATCTACTATGAAGGGATAGAATATGACTCTAAAAATGAAAAATAAAAAGGATTTTTTAACAAAGGGATCAATAAGGTGTTGGCTGAAAAAGGGAAAAAGAAAAATTCAAAAAAAACAGAAAGAAAATTTAAAAAATTAACTTTGAAAGACTAAAGAATCATGGTAAAAAAAGCCATGAATTCTATGTGCTGTATTCCCCTAGAGCTGGAGTTCTGCTGTTCCCATTGTACAGTAAACTTGGTCGTGGCTGGCTGTTCTTGCTGATCTTCCGGGGAAGGGGCCTGTTTCCATGGTTCCCAAATGCCTTTGCCGGAGGTGGAATTGCCCTGCCCTTGCCGGTCTAGGCTAAGTAATCTGCCTGGGTTTGCTCTCAGGAGCTTTTGTTCCCTGCAAGCTTTCTGTACAGCTTTGGAGGATGAGAGTGAAAATGGCAGCCTCCCACTCTCCACCCCAGAGGAGCCAAGAACTCGGAGCCCCACTCCTTAGAGCATCCCCAGAGAAAAGCAGTCAATCACCTCCATCTCCCCCACTCCGTGCTCACTCGGCCTGTGACCGAGCGTTTCTATCTCTGGCTAATGACCCCGTGTGGAGTCTCCAAACCCAGCAGATCCCTGCGGTGCACTCCCATGCCACTCCTCCCGGGGGAGGAAGGGGGGGTCTCCCCAGATCTGCTGCTTGTTGGGTCCCTGCTGGAGGAGCAGTGGCCAGACTGGGCTGCGGATCACGGTTTATGGCAACCCCGAGCTGAGAGCCCACTCCTTGGCTCCGTCTCTGCAGCCGGCTTCCCTGCTCTGATACCTGGGAGCTCTGCTGCACTCAGGCACCCCCGGTCTTTCTGTGACCCCGAGGGTCCTGAGACCACACTGTCCCGCGAGGGTTCTACCCCCCACTTAGCCACTGGAGCAATGTCCCTCAGCGGAGCCGACATCTAAAAGTTCCAATTTTGTGCTCCGCTGCTCTATCACTTGCCAGAATCGGCCGACAGAGGCCCCCTCCCCGCCATCTATCCTCCCAAATATTGCCTCGGATTCACTTCTCCTCACATCTTACCTTCCAGAAAGTGGTCACTTTTCTGTTCAGAGAGTTGTTGCTATTCTTTTCTTCGATCTCCTGTTGAGTTCGTAGGTGTTCAGAATGGTTTGATCCCTATCCAGCTCAATTCCTTCCTGGGACCAGACGAAATCCTGGTCTCCTACTCCTCCGCCATCTTCCTCCGCCCCCCTCCTCATTTTATTATTAAATTGATCAGAATAGCCTAAATACAAATTGTCATGTAACACATAAGAAACTCCCAATGATCACAAAACTGGGGTTGAAGTCCTGGCTCACTTGCTTGAATTACAGAACGCATTTACAGAAATGCAACTGTCATACCTTCAAATGCACCAAATATTATAAACTAAAAAAAATAGTTCTGATAAATAAGTGCATAGTAAATTAATTTCCTTGATGGAAAATTAACATTCAGAATGCACTCACATTTATCATTATTGTCATAAAAAAGTATGTTAATGTATAATAATCTTTGAAGTTAGAATTCAAAGGTACATTGAAGAACTTCACATCTTTAAACTTAAATTTGAAAATGCAGAGCTAGTTGATTTTGTTTTCCCTCCACAAATCAAACATAGAGAAGTCTGGGGAAAGGAAATCATACATTTATAAGATTATATTTCTTCATGTATTATCCAAGGAAATTTCTTTCATTGAGCCAGTATTTTTATGGTCTACCTAAAAATATATGTGTCACCTTAGAAATTAATATTTTCCCAGGCATCTTCAGGGGAATTGTAGGTAGTTTATACATAGCTTCCTTCACAGGGGTCTATTTGTATTGAACAGAAATCTTCCAAAAGTCTCACAAAGAGTTGGGCAATTCATGCTAATTAGTGCCAGTGCCTGTCCCTGCATTGTTAACCATCCCCTTCCTGATTTCTGATTCTGTTTCCCTTTCTGTTGCTTATATCCTCATTGCTAAGTTTCTTTTATCATTACTATGTGGTGAACTAGATTTCAATAAAAATTTCACTCTAATGGCATCTTATTTGTCTAGCTAAACACCGGTGTTCTAACACCTTGAGTCACCATGTCCCAGAACACTGATTTGTCTTCCCTTCTGTATTCCCATCCCACTTCCAACATTAATGAAATGAAGCTAACTGCTAAGGTAGGAAACAAGTTACCGCCATAAGCTAGCTATAAATAAAGACAAAGCAACCCTGGTGGATTGAAGTTCAGGCTTTATGTGCCCCAGGCTGTCCCTGGAAGTACACATACTTGCTCTTAATTTCAGAGGATGTTGATCTTCCTCATTAAGGAAGACATGTTTTCATTAAAAATGGATGTTAGGGTGCCAAGAGACCTTTATCTTCCACCAGTTGCAGAAGAAACAATTCTTCGAGAAATACTCAACTCTCTGGAGATAGACATACTGAAAGATATTCTATCTGATCGGATTTACTATTAATGAGTGCTCCACTTGTCCTTAAGTCATTATTATTCTTTCTCAAATTTTTTGGCCCCATCTCAATACTGAAAATGGTAGGTTTTCAAATTAGTTCAGTTAATTTTTCCAGTTACTAATAGCTTACTTGAAATTCTCAACTATTTGGTCAAATTGGTCTGCTAACTGCTCTTTTAGCAGTTACCACTCTGCTAGACCAACCTGGGTCTCAGCTTAAACTAACTAAAGGCCAAAAGTAAATTTTTAAAGACTGGTAAATTCCCAATACAATCATTTCTTTTCTTTTGCAATTGATATCTTCCCCAACCATGGATAAAACCAAATCCTTAGTCTTAGAACTGTACCTACATTCCATTCTCCAAAATTTGAATATCATATTATAATTAAGCCAAGAAAGTGGTTACTTGTGAGCATGAATCTTTTACTGTTAAGCAGAGTTCACCATATAAATGCTGGAAGGTCCATGGTTAATAGCCAGGGCAATATTTTCTCAAATTTTTATTACTTACAACTGTGCCAATTACCCCAAACTTCTGACAAGGCTACATTGTGAAGTAATGTAAAACAAGCCCCTGAAAAATACATTTTAACCGAGCAGTTTTTACATACTACAAGTATAAATGTTCCTACAAAATGTGCTGGAAGGGCCTTTAAAGGTTCTGTAGCTCTAGGGTCAACAGTTATGTACACAATTGTAAAGTTATCTTGAAGATGATAATGACAGTTAGTGCAATAATTCAGAAAAGTAACTGACCCATCTCCACACACCTCTAGAAGGCAGAAGCAATGCATAAAGCGCCTATCCTGAAGCTCTGCTCTATAGAATCAGCCTCACCTTCTATTGGAAAAAGACTAACGTTAAATTATTAAATTAAAAAAGAAAAATTATAATTTAACTCTGCTCCATAATTGCTGATGAGTTATTAAAATTCCAAACTTTTGTAATATTATAAAATATGGCATTTTTCTCAAGAAAGCCACAAATTGGATTTGAGCTTATGCACTGTAAAACCCAGATGGTCTGCTTAACTAGTCAGACATCCCCCAGTTCAAAAGTTAATTGAACTGAAAACTAAAATTTTGATAATTGATATGCTTTGAGGGACCCAAGCAGAAGGATAAATTAGCCTCATGCATGGGGTGTTAATAGACTTGAGAAACCATGACAATTGGTCAGAAAATATTGGCACAGTAGAATAAAACTATACATTTTCTATAGGTTATAGCTAATTACACATTACCTGGACTTCCCATGGTGCTGATGCTTTTCTTTCTCCATTTTTTTACCCACTGATTCAATATTAGTCACTATTTTACCCAGTTTAACTTGTTCTGGAATTAAAAAAATAAGTTTTAATTGTATACGATTTGTTTTCAAGTTCTAAGTGCATTTTTTGAATTAAATTGCAAATCACAGATTTTTTAATAACAAGAGATACAAAATTTTTCAAACAAATTACTAACACAAAGATACTCTAAAAACACATTTGAGTGTTTTTTTTCACCCCTTGCTCCTCAGATGTTTTGCAATTACTAAAATTTAGCACTGAAGGTATAGAGTAAATGAACTGCATATATCAGAAAGGAGATAGCTCCTCGAGAAATGTCTGCAATAGCACAGCACATACCAATGAATACCAACAGCCTCATTTATACATATCAGCATTATTATCATCATTATCATCATAAGGCTTAGCTTTTATAGGAGAGTCTGCTATTTTAAAATAATTTAGCAATCATTAGTTAATGTAAATAGGAACACTCATCAACTTGATAGAGTAAGACTGAAGTCCAGGAAAGGCAAAATTCTGCTTAAAAAAAAAAATCTAGTTCTTGGAGTCTAGAGAGAAAATTTACATAAATATTTTTAAATACCTATTACCTTGTATTTTGTACAGATAATACAGCTAACATAGTTTGAAACATTATAACAAAATATTAAGTTGATATCTCTAAAGCACCTTCTAGCTACCAGCTCAGGTACGTTAAAGATATATTAAAGATACAGGGAACTTATGAAATGAAACCCTCTACTTCGGAAATATTTACAAACTGGTTGGTGTGTCAATGCTAACAAATAGAGGAGCATAGTTGACCACATTATGTTAATTTAGATTTAAAACATATAACAGAAAATATAAAAATTTTAGAGAAATGGAAAACAGAATGTTAAAATGTATGGACTATTTATAATATACCAGGGGTATTGTTCAGCATTCCCTACAAATCATCTCACACTTCAGCCTCAGAACAAGTTCTTGGCATTTTTGTTTGTTTTTGGTGAAGCACAGTGATTACTCTTTTACATGGAAGGAAAGCAGCCTACCCAAGATCTGGTAAATTAAAAGGTGCAGAGCCAGGACTCCAACCTGTATCCCTCTGACTATAAGTTCCTTCATCATTACTGTCGGCGTGGCTCAGGGGGCCTCAGGTGCTAATCAGGGAAAGAGGGTCATTTCTGCCTTGCTTATTAATTTGGAGGGTGACTATGGAGCTCAAAAGACACACTTTAAGTAAAGACACATGGCAGACTAAGAAACATACTAAGATGAAGAAGTAGAGAAGGAATTTATAATTTTGAATCTTAAAAATATTTGCCATATGCTATGTGTGCTAATTGCTGTTCCTGGGTTATATTTTATTCTCACAAGCACACCATATATTAGGTTCTGTTATTCTCCCCATCTTACAGATGAGGAAACTGAAGCAGGGAAACAGACATTAACTTCCCCAAGGTTATATAGCTAGCAGTAGGTAGAGTCAATATGCAGGCAGGCAGTCTTTGGAGCCTGCATTGTTAATCGCTATGATACTCAATAGGCGTATTTATTTTATTTATTTCAGAAAGATCTATTTAGTGAAAATTGTTGTCCTAACTCCTAGAGAGGGGAGATGTAGGATATACCAATTAATAAAATGTGACTCTCAATGGACAGCATGACTAACAGCAAAAATCACTGCAAAAAAGTAAAGGAGAAAAACAATAGGGAGGAAAGGTCATGAGATGTATGATCCAGAGATCTAAGGAGTGAATTTTACAGTGATGCTAAAGAAAGTAAGTTGTGTTACTATAATAATTAATAAAGCAAAAGATATGCCCATTTTATTGGGTTTTTTTAACTTATTTTTGTTTTTAGTAATCTCTACACCCAATATGAGGCTTGAACCCACAACTCTGAGATCAAGAGTTGCATGCTCCACTGAGCCAGCCACGCACCCCTATATGCCCATTTTGAAAAAAATCTGTTAAAAACTTCGGCCATAAATGCTAAACTAAAAGCCCCCTTGGTGACATTTAACTAAATCATGTTAGGACTGCATCCAAAATAAAAAATAAGTATAGTTATATCCCTCAAAGAAAAGAGAGATTTCTAGAAAGGCAATTAAAGCATATAAAAAATTCAACATTACTTCTAATTAGTTTACTAAACCTTTGGATGGGGAACCAGACTATTGTGTGACTTTGGGCAAATTATATCATCTCAGAGTTCATAACTATTCCCTTTATGTAAAATCTAGTCTCTAGACCAATTACACCAAAATCTAGAATTCAGTTCTGGAATGTAAATTATATATTTTTTGTTTGTTTGTTTGTTTTTGTTTTTTCTTTTTTTATTATTTTATGTTAATCACCATACATCATTAGGTTTTTTTAATTTTTATTGTTATGTTAATCACCATACATTACATCATTAGTTTTTGATGTAGTGTTCCACGATTCGTTGTTTGCGTATAACAGTGCTCCATGCAGTACATGCCTTCCTTAATACCCATCACCAGGCTAACCCATCCCCCCACCCCCATCCCCTCTAGAACCCTCAGTTTGTTTCTCAGAGTCCATAGTCTCTCATGGTTCATCTCCCCCTCCAATTTTCCCCCCTTCATTCTTCCCTTCCTGCTATCTTCTTCTTTTTTTTTTTAAACATATAATGTATTATTTGTTTCAGAGGTACAGATCTGTAATTCAACAGTCTTACACAATTCACAGCGCTCACCATAGCACATACCCTCCCCAATATCTATCACCCAGCCACCCCATCCATAAATTATAAATCACCTCTGGTTAGAATAATTGGTAAATAGGAGACAGAGAGACTGGGAAAAGAAAATGCAGGTAAAACAATAATTATCTGGGGGTTTTGTATGAAATCAAACACATGGAGCATAAGGCATTAGAACTGCCAACCAAAGGACTCTAGTCCTTCACACTATTTACCACATTTTCCTCAGAGTTCAGCTGGAATTGCCCATTCATTCAATTGGAATCAATCAACCATTCAATTTCCATCACTTCTGACTCTTTCACCTGTCTCTTTCATGGATTCATTTTGTTTAGAACACCTCCAGCTGTTGTGTATGCCCCACGGCTCTTTCCTTGGCTGCCTTCTACCCTTTACCTAAATGATCTGGTTCATGCCCAGGGCTAAATTTATCATCTAAATGCAGATCCCTCACAAAATCTATATATCTTGCCAAAGCACTCTCAAGTGCCAAATCTGACTAACCAACTATCTCTATACACATGTCCCAAAGACATCCCAATTATCATTTCTCCCTCACAATTAATGACACTACCATCCATCCATCTACCTGGAAGTTCCTTATACTCATTCCCCCTCAACCTTCTTCATACAATCAGTCATTAAATCCCTTCCATCCCTTCTCACACAGACTGCCTCAAAGCAGACCTTTATCATCTCTCCTCTGAACACTAACAGCTTCTTCCCTTGAATTCCTGCCTCCAATCATGATACCCTCCAATCCATCCTCCTTACTTTCCATAAGTAATCTCTGATTTTCAAATTATGGGATTTTAAATTATCATTGTCATTGCTTTTAAATTTCATTTCATTGTAATCAGAGAACATGATGTATAATTCCAAATTCTTTGAAGTTTACTGACAGTGTGTAGACAATTTTCATAACATTCCATATTTGTCTGATTCTATCTCTTATTGTTGTTCTATATTCATCTAATAAATTACACTTCTTAATGTAGTTGTTTACATCAAATTTTATAACCTTACTAATATGTATATGCACACACATATATGTATATACATAATTTATTTTTTGCTGGACCATTTGAAAGCCAGCTACAAACAGTATGACATTTCACCTTTAAATATTTCATCACATAGCTCCTAAGAACAAATACACTTCCTACACATTCACTATATTATATGTATAAATACACTCTGAATTTCTAAAATTTACTACAAAAATGTAATAGATCTAATTAAAATGTTTAATTGTTTAAATATTTTCATATACTGAATTAAATAAAATATATTATTAAATTAATTTCACCTATTTCTCTTCACCTTTTTTAATGTGGCCACCAGAAAATTTTAAATTATATCTATGGTTTGCATTGTCTTTCAAAGGACAGCACTGACTAGAACATTCCTCCTACCCTTTTTCATCTTTTTTGACATTCTTGAAGGTATTCTGAATTCTTCCCACTGTTTCTTTATGACTAAATTAAAATTAAATATTTTTGACAGGAATAGTACAGAAGTGGTATGGTGTCCTTCCTATTACATCACATTAAAAGGTGTTACTAGGGACGCCTGGGTGGCTCAGATGGTTAAGCATCTGCCTTCGGCTCAGGTCATGATTCTGGGGTCCTGGGTTCGAGCCCCACATCGGGCTCCCAGCTCAGTGGGGAGTCTGCGTCTCCCTCTCCCTCTGCCTCTTCCCCTGCTTGTGCTCTCTCTGTCTCTCTCAAAAATGAATAAATAAAAGGTCTTTAAAATTTTTTTAAAAGGTGTTACTAAATTTAATCATTTGATTAAGGTGGCAACTGTCAAATATTTCCATTATAAACATACATTTTTCCCTTTGTAATTACTAAATAACTTCTCGCTGATAGTTTGGCTCTTCCTCAACCATCTCTCATAAAAACATGGTTTAGCATCCACTAATAACTCTTCCCTAAGTCAGTCATTACAGCGGTAATTGCAAATTAATGTGTTTCTTTTTAATAATTCTGTGTTTTCTTCTATGTTTATAAACTGGCATTAATCTGTAAAGGAGAGATTTTCCTCTTTTTCTTTCTCCTCCTTTTTGGGACACATTAATTCTTTTTTTTTACTCAGTGTGTTATAATCGACTCCCATCATTATTCTTTTTGATGCTCATAATGCCAAAATCAGCCAGTCAGTTCCTGTACCATTTCAACATATCTCCATTAGTCTTTGAACATTCCTTCCTTTCTGCCACAGTAAGAGTTCTAGGCTCACTTTGTCCTTTCTCTGTCCCAGACCTGGAATCAGGTTTCCAGTGATCTCTTCCATAATTACCATTCTCCCCATTCTCTAATGTTTTTT